CAGAGGAGGGAGAGCTTGTACCTGGATAAAACTTGGTCTTAAAGGTGCCACTGGACTGTTTTGGATTGCTAGCTATGGGGGGGGAGGAACATGCAGATCTGTCCTCGCAGAGGAGGGAGAGCTTGTACCTGGATAAAACTTGGTCTTAAAGGTGCCACTGGACTGTTTTGGACCGGGGGGAGCCCTGCAACTTACCTGGCTGCTTCTTGCTCTGACTGAGGGCTGCTGGGAGAAGGGGGCGGGGCTTGTTGCATGTGCCCGCCCCCTGGGCTTTTTACTGTCGGAGCTCCGCTCCTGCAGGAAATGACCCCTGCCCGTACTCCAATCCGGCAGCATTGGCATCGCATTGTGGTGCGTGCAGCCAGTCTAGCACACATCAGCCGGGAGGGATTTCTAATTCTCGCTTCTTGAACCCCGCCGTTCTGCCATTCCCAGGATTCAGAAGATTCCTCGCCTGTTAGTGGGAGCCGCGGACGGGTATCTCTACATGTACAACCTGGACCCCCAGGAAGGAGGCGAATGCACACTGATGAAGCAGCACAAGTAAGCACTCGCGTGGGTCCCTCGCGGGCTACCCTCGTTTTGGATCCAAGCTGTTTGAGGGTTACCAGTCTTGAAATAGAAGGAGCTGTCGGAGCGTGTGCCAGGCTGGTCTCCAGCAGCGATCAGAATTGAGAGTGCCTTTTAAGCTGCGGTGGCTCAAGTGGTCAAGACGCTGAACTGCAGGCTGTGGAAGGCCAGTAGTTGAGCAGTTCGAGACCCGAGTGTGCCACGTGACGGAGTGAGCTCCTGTCTCTGGCCCCAGCTCCTGCCAACCTAGCAGTTCGAAAGCAAGAAATTGCAAGTAGATAAATAGGCACCACTTCGGTGGGAAGGTAACAGCGTTCCGTGCGCCTTGGTGTTTAGTCACGCCGGCCACATGACCACGGAGACGTCTTCGGACAGCGCTGGCTCTTCGGCTTTGAAACGGAGATGAGCACCCCAACCCTAGAGTTGGACTCGACTGGCTTTCGAGCAAGGAAAACCTTCACCTTTACCTTTAAGGACTAGGCGTGGCTCAGAAGCAAATGACAGAAGGCCTTTCAGCCACGGTCTGGCCCACATTTCCCGATCGGCAAGTCCTTTTGAACTTACTTTTGCGTAAGCTTGCATCGGGTCCGGCCTTTGCACATATCCAGATGCAAATGGCCCTGTGCAGAGAGAGAGACTACTGTCTCCTTGAGAAACAAACGCAACAAAGACTGTGAAAATAAAGTTAAACCACTCTATTCACATGGTTGATTCTCACGTGACAATAATAATCCTTAGAGGAAAACTGACAGTGTGTATTGGCAGAACATCAGCGTACATAAATACAGCAAATTTAAAGATGTTCCAGAAAAGGTCCAATGGGTTTCACATGAAGAGTGCAAAACTTCCAGTGAGTCCAAAATCCTTACGAAGTTTCTGGATAAATACCCCATTTCGGATATCTTCCCCAGAGGTGGACTGCTTTCAGTTACATACAGATAGGATTGTGTTCATTTAAATCTCCAGTATCAGTTCTACACACCATCAAGGTTCAAAATCGTAAAAGGAAAGGCTTCAAATTGGGCTACCAGTCACACTTTAGAAGAGAATCTAATCTGAATTGTTTCAAAGTTGGTATTCATTGGTCCTTTTCTGGAACGTCTATACATTTGCAATGATGTGTTTTTGTATATTTGTATGCTGATGTTTTGCTGGTACACATTGTCAGTTCTGCTGTATGGTTTATTATTGCCATGTAAGAATCAACAATGGATGTGAATATTAGCGTTTATTTTCACAGTCTTTTGTTGTGTTTGTCGTTATCGTTATCTGGTTTGTGATTCTTTTGTTTTTAAATTTTAATAATTTTTATTACATAAATATAAAACAATTGAGACAGAGAATCGCAAACAATACAAACTACTGAACATTAATAATATGCTTGATATTCTGTTCAGTATATCTATCTAAGAATTACCTATTTTACACTCTTAACATGTTTTCTAATAATACCGTTGGGTTAGCAACCATCTTATATAAATGAAAGAATTTGAGTTCAACTAGCTAGCATTTAAGGAGCTGCAGTGGCTCAAGTGGGTATGACGCTGAACTGCAGGCTGTGGAAGGTCATTCATTCGGCAGTTCGAGACCCGAGTGTGCCGCATGACGGACTGAGCTCCCGTCTCTAGTTCCAGCTCCTGCCAACCTAGCAGCTCGAAAGCAAGACACTGCAAGTAGATAAAATAGGTACCGCTTCGGTGGGAAGGTAACAGCGTTCCGTGCACCTTGGTGTTTAGTCATGCCGGCCACATGACCACGGAGGAGTCTTCAGACAGCGCTGGCTCTTCGGCTTTGAAACAGATATGAGCACCGCAACCCTAGAGCCGGATTCGACTGGCTTTCGAGCAAGGGAACCTTTACCTTTACCTTTAGCTAGCATTTACTGTGATTCTTCTTATTGTCTCACTGTCTCCTCAAGAGAGCCAGGGCTCCTTCCTCAGTCCTCCGTGGGTTCAAATCCTCTGGTTTGCGGAGCTAACCATGGCTGAGTGTTTTGAGAGCGAACCAGGACTGAGTGTTCATAGCTGTGAGCTCACGAGCTGCGGGTTAACTCCGAAGCAGAGTTTGCATACCTGCTTCTGATCATGGCCAGACACTGCAGTTTGCCACTCTAGGCACGTATGCTGCACTGTGGTTAGCTCCTAAAGCACAAGGTGGGGGTGTCACTAGAGATGTGAAGGCCCGGGAAAAAAACAGAAATATTTGGGGGGAAACGGGTTTTTTTCGTTTTTTTCCTGAAGCCTTTTTTGTTTTTTCCCCGAAAAATTGGAAAAAGAAAAAAAAAGAAAAAATTGATTATGGAACATTTTATTTTAACATGATGACTAAAATATTTTAAGACAAGGTGTTCAAATATTTTCCAAATCATTTCTAATATATATATATATATACTGTATCAGACTGATCTAATTTCTGTGCACTGAGGACAAGCAAGTCCTAGGTTACAAACTGAGATCTCCAATGCAAGAACAAGAGGCATTTCTTCCTTTAGGAGGTGCGATTGTCAGAAGAAAATAAAAAGGTTTCAGTTTTGTTTTTGCATGTGGGTGGGTATTCTGTTTGTAATAATTGTTTGGATACACTATATTTTTAATATGCTAGTTGTGATCATTTCATGCCAAGTAAAAATGTCCATAGTCATATTTTATGTTCCTAAAGTAACAGAATGACTTTTCATTCTGGAAAAGACAAAAGAAATGCTAATGTAGCTTTTTTTTTCAATTTTTCTGAAAATTTCCGTTTTCCCCCGAAAAAAACTGGGGAAAAAACGGGTTTTTTTCCGAGCTTCAAAATTTCCGGAAATTTCACATCTCTAGGTGTCATGCCCAGAGGGTGCTCCCAGTCAGTCGGCTGATTGTTCAGGCAGCGTTATATCTGTAGCGAGCCAATCCTGAATGGACCAGAGTATCCAGACGTCTAGCCATGACCCGGATAGCCCAGGCCAGGTCGATCTCGTCAGAAGCTGAGCAGGGCCGACCCGGGCTAGTATTTGGATGGGAGGACTGCCAGGGAATACCAGGGTCATGACGCAGGGGCAAGCCACCTCTGAACGCCCCTTCCCTCCAAGCCCCACTAGGGGTCGCCAGAGGTCCGCTTGACTTGACGGTTAAAAAAAGAAAGACTATCCAAAAGTGTAGAACAAAGTTTGCGTCTGATAAAACTTTTAAGGCCCACAAAGATTTATCCATGGCAGGGCTATTTTTGGGCAGGAACACACAGGAACGGAGTTCCGGCTGGCTTCAGAGTTGGCCACGCCCACTACAGCCAAAACTTCTGCATGTGTGGTGACAGCGGGAAGGCCTGGAGATCAACCCCCCCCCTCCAGCAACTCCGAGGCGGGCAGGCCAGGGGGCCCTGGAAGGATCGGGGCAGCATTTAAATGACTCCCCGCACCTTCCCCGGCCTGTCCAAGGGCCAGCTTGCCCGGGCTCCGCACAGCCGTGGGGCGCCCTAGCAAGCCAAGGAAAGACATGGGGTGTGGCCTATTATGCTAAAAAACTGTGCTGTCGGGGTGTGGCCTAATATGCTGATAGGTTTCTGCTGTTGGGTGTGGCCTATTATGCTAATGGTTTCCTGCTGGGCTTTTTCTACAAAAAAAGCCCTGTTCCATGGTATAAGCTTTCGTGTGCAAGCACTCTTCTTCAGAGGCAGGAACAAAAGTGTGAATCAGTGGCTGTTGGTGTTGGACTGACAGAATCATCGAATCACACGGAGTCGGAAGGGGCCCTAGAGGCCGTCTAGCCCAACCCCCTGCTCAATGCAGGATCCGCCTAGAGCATCCCTGACAAGTGTTTGTCCAGCCGCTGCTTCAAGACTGCCAGGGAGGGGGAGCTCACCACCTCCCCTAGGCAGCTGATTCCACTGCTGCACAACTCTGACTGACCAAAAGGTTTTCCTAAGATCTAGCCAGTACCTTCCCGCCCTTAATTTCAACCCATTATTGCAAGTCCTGTCCTTTGCCAGTTTGGTGTAGTGGTTAAGTGCGCGGTCTCTAATCTGGGAGAACCGGGTTTGATTCCCCACTCCTCCACTTGCAGCTACTGGGTGACCTTGGGTCAGTCACAAGCTCTTTTGCCAGTTTGGTGTCGTGGTTAAGTGCGCGGACTCTAATCTGGGAGAACCGGGTTTGATTCCCCACTCCTCCACTTGCAGCTACTGAGTGACCTTGGGTCAGTCACAAGTTCTTTTGCCAGTTTGGTGTAGTGGTTAAGTGCGCAGACTCTAATCTGGGAGAACCGGGTTTGATTCCCCACTCCTCCTCCACTTGCACCTGCTGGATGACCTTGGGCAAGCCGTAGTTCTGACAAGAGCTGTTCTCTCAAGAGCAGTCCTCGAAAGAGCTCTCTCAGCCCCGCCTACCTCCCAGTGTGTCTGTTGTGGGGAGGGGAAGGGAAAGGAGTTTGTCAGCCACTCTGAGACACCTTTGGGTAGTGAAGGGCGGGGTATAAATCCAGCCTCCTCCTCCTCCTCCTCCGCCGCCGCCGCCGCCGCCAACAGGAACAGCTCCCTGCCCTCCTCTAAGTGAATAGATTCTCGTGACACATTCCACCATTTTTGTCCGCAAAGACAGCACTTGTGAGGAGGTGTTGCTTGTTGATGTAGCGGTGACATGCTTGCTAACGACTCCAGTGGTCACTCTGTTGTTCGGCTCTTTCCGCAGGCTGGACGGGAGCATGGAGCCAGCCAACGAGATTTTAGAATCGGCGTCACATGACCGGCCGCTGGTAGCGCAGACTTACAGTACTGCCGTGACTAAAGGTACTTACGTGAATTCTGCCCTACGAGACATGGTAGAAGTTAAGCCACAGCTGCCGAGCGGAGCGTGGAAGGAAGCCTTGCAAAGGGACAGTCGCAAAGGATTAGTTCCAAGTCGCATTCTGTGCCTTGGTCGGGAGCTTCTAAATCGACTGCTTTGGCGGACTTAGGCTCGGACTGACGCCTGGGTTACGCTCAGGGCAGCTAGCAACAAAGAAATTACAAACCATTAAAACCAATTATAACAGTGACAGTCCAATAAACCATTTTAAACATTAGAAGAGGAAAACCAGCGAGCCCAGTTTGGTGTTGTGGTGAGGAGCACGGACTCTGATCTGGGAGACCCGGGTTTGATTCCCCGCTCCTCCACCTGCAGCTGCTGGCGTGGCCTTGGGTCAGTCACAAGTTCTCTCAGAGCTGTTCTCTCAAGAGCAGTCCTCGAGAGAGCTCTCTCAGCCCCGCCTGCCTCACAGGGTGTCTGTCGTGGGGAGGGGAAGGGGAAGGAGATTGTAAGCCGCTCAAAATCTCCTTCGGGTAGTGAAGGGCGGGGGATAAATCCAATCTCTCTTCTTCTTCAATACATTCATTCACATAGTTCCAGCAATGCTAACTGGATGACAGGACCAAGATGGAATGGGCAGATGTAATAGGCCAGTTTTCAGGAAGGGAGGCCAGGTGGTTGGGCGTCCGCCGCCTCAAACAGGGCTGGCGGAACAGCTCTGTTTTACAGCACTCGTGGCAGCACACGTTCCGCTTTTAAAGCTTTCTGAACTACTAGTTACTGCATGTGGCAGTGAGTTCCATAAGCGAATACATCCATGCAGCACATAACTTTTAGGTTGTCCTGAATCTATTGCCAGTGGGACAGAATTTGAGTCCAGCGGCCAACAAAGCTTCATTCAAGCTTTTTGTGTGCGTACACACAGAAGCGTATACCTTGAATCAACCTTTGCTGGTCTTAATGGTGCCACTGGACTCAAACTCTGTTCTGCAGAGTTAAGACCAACACGGCTACCTCACCTAAACTATCACCAATACACTTCATTAGACATCCTGCATTCTAATATTACATTGTACCGTGCTAGCAGTTCACTTTCCTGTGTGTTTCCTGGTAATGTAAATAGTCCTTGGGGGTTTTTATATATGTGTATAGATATATGTAGGGCCGCGGTGGCTCAGAGGTGAAGACGCTGAGCTGCAGACCGGAAGGTCTGTAGTTCAGCAGTTCGAGACCCGAGCGCCACGTGACGGAGCGAGCTCCCGTCTCTGGCCCCAGCTCCTGCCAACCTAGCCGCTCGAAAGCAAGACATTGCACGGAGATAAATAGGGACCACTTCGGTGGGAAGGGAACAGCGTTCCATGCGCCTTGGTGTTGAGTCATGCCGGCCACATGACCACGGAAACGTCTTCGGACAGCGCTGGCTCTTCGGCTTGGAAACGGAGATGAGCACCGCCCCCTAGAGTTGGACTCGACTGGCTTTCGAGCAAGGGAAACCCTTATCTTTTATATCTATAGATATAGATATATTTAACCACTGGGAAGCATTCAAGCACGTGGTCTGCTTATGCCGTTCAAAGAACCATGTCCCCCCTCGATTCCTCCACACACCTCAGTCGGCCCTAAGACGGTTCAGCTGTGTTTTGGGACGTGCCTTCTCATCGTTCCGTCCGTTTTTTTTCTGTCTCTTCAGCCTACACGGAGGACCTAGGTGCAGTCGGTGGCGCTTGCCTCGAAGACGACACCAACGCCCTGCGATTGGACGAAGACAGCGAGCAGCCGCCAATGATTCTCCGGACAGACTGAGCCTCGGACCTGCAGACCAGCTCCCGAGGGTGGAGCGCGCCGGCCCAGCCTTTCTGGGAGGGGGGGGACGCTCATTGTCTGTGCTGCTACGAACCTTGACCTGAATCGTTCGAGAGGGAGAGAAAATGACGGACTCTCAGATAGTTCTAACACCGATGGAGATAACCCCATTCTAGCTGTGTAATTTCGATTCGATGCCATTAGGAGAGGGACGGGGGTGGGGAAACGCCTGGTTTCACTTTTGGTGGCTTCTAAAGCCTGCTTTATCTTTTAGCTGTGAAGGATATATCTCTACCTACATATATATATATATATATTTTGCTCTTCCTGTTTGCCAAAAACCTGCGGCTTGTGCAGTCTCCGGCACTCCCTAGCTTTGCATGCCTTCTTGTGCCAAGCGAGCAGATTCACTTTATAACAAAAAAAAAAAAAGTTTTCCATTTTTTTAAAAAATAGAACGAATCCATGTGCATAACACCTGGCTGCCCATCCGGGAGCAGGGAGGTTACAGTTCCGGGATTGGCGGATTGTCCTGCTCAGACGTACAGGTCTTCGTGCATGGCCCCGCACGTGCACGTGGTGGCAGAACACCACCGTCAGGACGCTTTTTGTTCCTTTGGCCTCTTCTTCCCCCCCCCCCCACAACCCGCTTCCTCTTTTCCTGGACTACTTTGTTAATTAAAACTCCTCCTGAACGCTGCCTGACTTGTGGAACTTGTCCTTGTGTTCTCCGGACGGGGGAAGAGGTCTCCGCTCCGGATATTGTTCTCGCTTTTTTTTTTCACCCCCTAAGGAGGCGACACGAACAGGCAGAACGGTACGAAGCACGTTCTTCGGCGGAGGGACCGGGAATTAAAAGCCGCCTCTCTGTCAGTCGCGTTGACTTTGCCGCCCGTCCACGGACCGAGCCAGCGTGTCCGGCGTCCAAAGGTGTCGTGTTACCAGCCCCGAAAGTATGCTTCTCCTTAGCGACTGTCCTCCCACCGTAAAGCTTTCTTTAATCCTTGGAAAGCTAGCCATCCTTGCTAACAGCTAGACGTCGGTCCCTTCAGAAGCTGGAGATCCTGCTCTTGGGTTTTGCAGTCGAGCGGGCTTTGTCCCCTGGGTTCTTCCAGGGTGGTGGAGAAACGCACAGCTGCCGCTGAAAATGGCAGGCCTCTGGTGACGGCCGGGGGGCGGGGAAAGGCGTTCACTCCTCCACCGCACGTGATTGGCTGCCGCTAAGAGGGGGCGAGGAAATGCAGAATGGGATAATGCCACTCGACATTCTCGGTGCCCAGGTTGAGCCACCGCATGTCCCCCGTGCCCCCGTTTCGAGCTCTCTGCTCTCCACCCTCTCTCGCTCCACCCCTTCCCGAGGTCTCCCGTGTGGCGAAAGCGTCGCGTCGCCTCCCACGTCCACAGCTTCGAGTGGCAGTCCTCGGGCGTCGCAGAAGGGACGGATCCTTGTCCGGAACCGCCTGGACTCTGGCAAAGAGTGACCAAAGTTGGGCGAAACTGCCACCCACTTTTACAGAGCTGTAATGTGCCTTTGGGGGAGGGGGGGTGTTGTGTTGGTGGGTTTTTTTTTTAAAACCTTTTAGATCTGTTTCGTTGAACAAAAAAAAAATGATGTATGAACCCGTTTGAGTGTGAACCTCTTGTTTCCTCAGATTGTTAGCCATCTGTCCCCCCCCCCCGATTAAATTATTACTCACTCTCATTTTTCGTGACGTTCTCTTCCGAAATAAAATAAGTGAACCTTCTGACCAACTGAGAAAGGATCGGAATCTAAACCAAGGGGAAAGGGCGAGACGAGAGACGGAGAAAGAGATGGTCCCCAGGAGTAGAGATGTAAAGTTTTCAGAAATTTTGAGGCTTGGAAAAAACCCCGGTTTTTTTCAGAAAAAAACGGAAATTTTCGGAAAAATTGAAAAAAATGCTACATTAGCACTTCTTTTGTCTTTTCTAGATTGAAAGTCATTCTGTTACTTTAGGAACATAAAATATGACTATGGACATTTTTACTTGGCATGAAATTATCACAACTAGCATATTAAAAATGTAGTGTATCCAAACAATTATTACAAACAGAATACCCACCCACATGCAAAAACAAAATCGAAACTTTTTTATTTTCGTCTGACAATCGCATCTCCTAAAGGAAGAAATGCATCTTGTTCTTGCATTGGAGGGTTCAGTTTGTAACCTAGGACTTGCTTGTCCTCAGTGCACAGAAATTAGATCAATCTGATACCATATATTAGAATGATTTGGAAAATATTTGAACACCTTGTCTTAAAATATTTTATTCATCATGTTAAAATAAAACGTTCCATAATCAATTTTTTCCCTTTTCTTTTTTCAATTTTTCGGAAAAAAACAAAAAGGCTTCAGGGAAAAAACTGGGGGGAAACGGTTTCCCCCCAATTTTTTCCGGGTTTTTTTCCGGGCCTTCACATCTCTACCCGGGAGTGCGGATTGTGTTGGGACAGTGGTGATCTGATGGGTGTTCTGGGCAGCTCTGGAAGCTTCCTTGGGGTTCTCCAATGGCGATATCATGAACGGGGGGAAACCTCCCCAAACCATATTTTATCCCTCAGCATTGTGTGGTTTTGGGAGGGTAACAAACATGTTCCGTGATTCTTGGGCCTTCTTAACTTACAGGTTTTCCCCATGGTGGTCTCAGGTTCCCAGTCAAATCACTCTCCACACACACTTTGGCAGGGAATGCTTTATTTAGAGATTTGAGATGCTGTGGGTTCAAGCTCTTTGTTAGGACTGATTTGCAAAGGTGGGAAAGCACAGGATAGAAGTAAAACCCCAAAATTCCACGCACACCTACGCCAGCATTACTACAGTGTCTCTGAAAGATATACGGTCACTATCTAGCCAGGCACAGTCCTCTCCAAGGACATCTCTCATGTGAAAGATGTCTTGGGGGGCCCCCTTAGGAAAATCACCAAGCAATCCTCCCTAGCAAGCTACACACACTTGCCCCCCTAAGGAATTCAATGGCAAACGAGAGCAGCGATAAGGATACAGAATACAAGCAGTGAAAATCAAGCATGGACAATGCAGCCAACTCAGCCAGCCCATTCCAGTGTCAGGTGCTCGAGTTTGACAGGTGGGTTTTCACGTATGCAGAATTCTCTCTGGGGAAGCTCCATTCCGTGGCCCTTCTGATTGACACAGGGCCCCTAGAGTTCATTATGAGCAGTGTTCCCTCTAAACTGAGTTAGTGTGAGCTAGCTGACAGTTTGTTAGCCTCCAGCTCACACATTTTTGTCTCAGCTCAGGAAGGATGGCTCCAGAGCAAACGGATTTATGCATTAACCAAATTGCTTGCTCTCAACTTTAATGCCCGTAGCTCACAAAGCAGAATTCTTGCTCACAAGACTCCACAGCTTAGAGGGAGCATTGATTATGAGCAGGGGTCATTTCCTGCAGGAGCGCACAGGAGTGGAGCTCCGGCAGTAAAGAGCTCAGGGGGCGGGCACATGCAACAAGCCCCACCCCCTGCTCCCAGCAGCCCTCAGTCAGAGCAAGAAGCAGGCAGGTAAGTTGCAGAGCTCCCCCTGCCCCCTCCGGTTCAAAACAGTCCAGTGGCACCTTTAAGACCAAGTTTTATTCAGGTACAAGCTCTCCCTCCTCTGCGAGGACAGATCTGCACGTTCCCCCCCCCCAATAGCTAGCAATCCAAAACAGTCCAGTGGAGCCTGAGCGGTGGGTGTTGCCTTCTTACACACTTCCGGTGATGTCAGGGGATGTGGCATATGCAAACAAGTTATGCTAATATGCTCCACCTCTTTCTACGAAAGGACCCCTGATTATGAGTCTCTATTTATTTATTTATTTATTATTTTAATTTATACCCCGCCCTCCCCGCAAGCAGGCTCAGGGCGGCTTACACGAATTGGTACCCTGTACCATAAAACCATGTACAAAATTTAAACAACTTGCAACAACAACATTAAACATTAAAAGCAATCCAACAAATAACAAAGTGCTGGTGACGGTACTCTTGATGGCGTACTTTTTCCTGTTTGTATTATGGTTCTTTCCGCATTTTCCTGCCACTCCGGATTTTCTCAGTGTTCGAGTCGAGAAGATTTAAGTCCACGGCAAAACAGCATCCAAATAACCCGGGGCCAATAAAAAGAAGGTTGAACTCAATTTAATGTGAGTGGAAAGTGGGGGTGGGGGGAGAGAACTGGATTTAAAAGAAGGTTGAATTGGATTGTAGTGCCAAGTTGCTTAGAGGACATCGCGGTGAACATGGATTAAAAGGAGCGTGCGGAAAGGGCCGAAGTGTGCTGAACCTGTCGGTCTTACTCCCTGTTGTTCATTTTGTAACCACTAGATGGTAAACCTCGCCTGGCTGTGCGCGCTTGAAGAAAAGAACGCAGCCGAATTAATCCCGTCGCCTCTGAAGAGCAGATCCTTGCTGCTATGGGGAAAGAGGTCCCTGGAGAGGAAGGCAGAGGAGAGGGGGGGGGAGTCCTGGAGAAAGGAGGTTTTGCCCAAAGCAAGACAATGGGGGTTGAAAAGTGGAAAGCACAGAGGAACAGAGTGGTCGACAAACGGCTTTGCCCACGAGACAGCTGTCCAAAGCGGCACATTGTAAGGAACTTGCCCCTGGTTCCTGGGATCCCAGATCACCGCAGACTGTGACAGCAGCCATGAAATTAAAAGACGCCTGCTCCTTGGGAGGAAAGCGATGGCGAACCTAGACAGCATGATAAAAAGTAGAGACATCACCCTGCCAACAAAAGTCCGCATGGTCAAAGCAATGGTATTCCCAGTAGTCATGTATGGCTGCGAGAGTTGGACTATAAGGAAGGCCGAGCACCGAAGAATAGATTCTTTTGAAGTATGGTGCTCGAGAAGACTCTTGAGAGTCCCTTGGACTGCAAGAAGAACAAATCAGCCAATCCTAAAAGAAATCAACCCTGACTGTTCCCTGGAAGGCCATATAATGAAACTGAAGCTCAAATACTTTGGCCACCACCCAATGAGAAGGGAGCCCTAACTGGAGAAGAAGACCCTGATGCTGGGAAAGATTGAAGGTCGAAGAAGACGGGGACGGCAAAGGATGAGATGGTTAGACAGTGTCATTGATGCAACGGACATGAAATTGAGCAAACTCTGGAGCATGACGGAAGACAGGAAGGCCTGGCGTGATCTGGTCCAAGGGGTCGCGAAGAGTCGGACTTGACTGTGCGACTGAACAACAACAAAACTGGTGCACTTTTTTTAAACCTGCCATTCCACCAAGGAATTCAGAGAGGCATAAATGGTTCTTCCCTCCTTTTATCCTCACAACAACCCTGTGAGGTGGGCAACGGTGACTGGCCACAGGTCACCCAGCAACACTCATTGTCCTTCCTTCCTCATTTTATCCTCACGACAGCCCTGTAAAGCTGAGGGGGAACGACAGGCCGGTGATCCCTGTTTGAATACCCGCAGGGGGGGCCGTTCCAAAGGGGGATAGGACTTAATTCCTAAAGTACAGAACCTCGATTTATTCTGAATGCAGGGAGAAATCGGAGCACAGCTGAGAAGACCCTTTGCGCCCCGTTCTTCTTTGATGCCTCGGGAAGTAATTCAGCATTGAAGGTATTAACGCTGGGATTCCAGTCAAGTAAATTG